TATATTAGCTCTCTCCAAGAAAAGAGGGGGTGTTGAGGGAGCCAGAGAATAAAGGAAGAATTGAAGGAATGAAGTAAAGAAAGGAAGAAATTAAGGAACAAAGAAAAGAAGGAAGGAAAGAAAGAGGAAGGCAGGCAAGCCAGAGGGTTATGAAGGCAGAGCTCTCGTGTACCTATGTCTGACAGTAAGAACTATAACGAGATACTCTGACAAAGCCATAACCTTGCACAAAGGCCACTGCAATATTATACAAAAAATACTTCCATGAGGACATTTGCCCAGCCACAGCCTGTCCAACCTTGGACTAATGCCAGCCTTGTTATTGATCCATGGAACCAAGGAATTCATTTCAAAACAACTTATTGTGACCCTCTTTATTTTCTTTTTGAAACTCTTGTCTACCTTTGGCTCCCTGGATATGTAGTTTGCTCTGGCACGTCTATTCCCACTGCAGTGCTCAGTCCCGAATAAATTCACTGTCTTTGGAGAATCTCTGTTATTTTGGTTACCATCCCCCTCTGCCTAGCTCTTTGTTTTCTTTTTGGTACCGGGATCGAACTTGGGACCTTGCCCTTGCGAGGCAGGTGGCAGAAACACTGAGCTAAATCCCCAGCCCTGCCTAGCTTTTTTATATTGTTGGATGTTCTGAGCCAGCCATTTGAACTTTCTTTCATTGAAATCTTTCCTTCCCCAGGGCTTTCTGACCTTTAGATTGACCTTCATTAGGCAGGCTTTTACTGAGATCTGTGTATCAAAAGTACAATAGAGGTAAGGAAAATAAAGCTTATAATAAAAAATAAGGCCAACTGGACCACTCTAGTAAGGTCTGAGAAATTGTTTTCCTAGCTGATGAGAGGCTTGGCTGCGCCTGAACGGGTCTTCAGCAAAGCATGGCTGTTGATTAGAGTGGATGCTGGGGTCCTCTGCAGCAGGAACTCTGCTTGTGGCAAACAAGTGTTAAAAATGCTGGACAAACAATTCCATCTTTTGTTCCTAGAAAAGGCATCCTATTTCTTATTTAGTTTTCTAACTGCTTTATGGGAAATATTATTTCTTTTTCTAGAACAAAATGTTTTAAATATTGCCTGGATTTAAAATTGGCTGGAGAGGTCAGTACTCCCTAACTCAGCTTAAATTTCCAAAGGGCCCATCAAACGTATGCTGCACATAGATTCAGCTGGCTGCAGGGAGTCGCTTTTATTTTCAAGATGACAGCTTCATTTCAGCCCGCTTTGCCCACACTTGGAAGGGGAAAGAATTTCCTATGAAATCAACTGAGTGCCATTTCTTATTCTGTCCTTGCTTTTCTAATTAAGAATTCAGATTGTGGCTGCCTTTCTAGCCAGGTTCACTTTGAACTTGCAGAGTCAGCTGTTTGAAAAGAGTACACGAGTTTGAGAGTTCAATATTTTTTGGTTCCAATCCAGGTTCTGTTGCTTACAAGTGCTATAATGTTAGATATTTCATCTCTGGGTCTCAACTGTAAGATAGAGACTAGCAACTTCAAATTCATCTATGGAGTTGAAACCCAATATACGTTTAGTTCCCCTCCTTTCTATTTGCAGAAATTTTTTATCTGGGTTCTGCTGTTCCAGATGAATTTGGAACTTGACGCATTCCTCCTCCTCCTCCTCCTTCTCCATCTTCTTTTCTCCCTTTCTCCCTCCCTCTCTCCTCTCTCTCCCTCCCTTTTTCTCTCCCTCATCTATCATCCGTCCATCTACTCATCCATCCATCCATCTACATTTTGACCTTTCCTCCTTGCATTTTCTACCATTCAAATGTCTTCTGTGTTGTGTCCAATCAGAGCCTTCCTAGACATTTGAAATTTATCTGATAACTGGACTTAAGGCAATATTTATTACATTTACAGAACTAAAATATATTAAGGTAAGAAAAATCTTTAGGATTTATACTAAGTGTCTTAGAGAAATTGAATCACTTGGTCAATATTTTACGGTTTAGTGGGAATACCATGCTAAATCATATAGTTCTTGAGTCCTTAAAGACAGTGAATCTAAACAGATAAAGTATTTTCCATATTTGTATTTTACCATGAGGAAAGTAATCTGCAGCAGAATGTGCTTTTGGGAGGTAGGTCCTGGTCAGAGGAGGCAGGTCATTGGGGGTATGCATGTTAAGTTATATTCTTATCCCTGGCTCATCCCTTCTGTTTCCTCCTGCCATGGCTTGAACAATTTCTCTCCACCTTATCCTTTCAAAATTCCATTTCTACTTTAGACCTAACCAAACATGGACTGAATATTTGAAAACATGAGAAAAATAAACCTCTCCTCTTTTAAGCTGTGGGTGTTGGATATCTTGTCTCAGTGATGGGAAAACTGACAAATACACCCAACTAAATGAGGTCAGCACTTTTATTATCCCCATTTTTTAATGTGGTTTCCGAGACACAGAAAAGAAATTAAGGAACTTGTCCATGGCTAGAACACGGTAGACCAGAAGTCCAGCCCTTGAACTCTAGTCTCCATCCTTATTTTGAACTATCATACAAGGGCAGCCTGCTTTTCAAAGACAGAACTTGTTTTAGGCTGGGCTGTGGAAGATGCAGCAAGGTTGTCGGGTAGGTCCCACTGGAAAACATTGTGAACATATCGGGCTAATGAAATAATTGTGTAAAGGGATTTTGTAAACTTTAATGAACAATCCTGGTTACCATTACTGATCCTCAGCCATATCTGAAGCATGGCCAGCAGTAATGGCTCTGTCTCACAATGAGACCTTGCAAGTTGACCTGCCAGACAGGAGGACTTAGTGGCTCATCCTCCGACAGCTCATAACAAGGAGAGTTAGTGCTAGAACTAGAACTAGGACCCAAGTGCCCACAGGAGAGCATGGAGGCAATATAATTAAGTGAAAGTACTGGGCAAGAAATAGAACTATTGTTTTCAGATCAAACCTGTAGAAATAATCTTCACTTTTTAAGAAACAATATGGCCTTCCACACTCTTCTTGATACACAAAGTTAATTCTGTTTTTTTTTAATCTTCCAATTTTTGAAAATGGGAATGTTGGAAATACCGTTTTTTCATAATTCTACCAGAAGTGGCATGATAAGTGACAACCCATATGCTGTCCAGCCTCTGAAGTGGGAAGTGCCCGAGGTTTGGGTATGGTTTCAGAGTCCCCCAAGGGTCTGTCATGATTGAAGTGTTTGTCCACAGAATGGTACTATTGGGAGGTGACAGAAACTTTGAGTTTGTGTGTGGGGGTGTCTAATGGGAAGGAGGTCCTTCAGTCATTGGGGGTGTGCTTATTTCTCCTATGACCGCTTTTGGAGTTCTGGTAGAACACTTTGGTGGTTTTTTCAAGAAGGTTGTTACAGAAGAAGTGAAGTTGGACCCACCTGTTTTATTTCTCTCTAGCCCTTGCTCAAGATGTTGGGTATGATGTACACTCCTACCATGATGTGCCAGTTACCTGCCACCATCATCAGAGACCAAAACAAATGGGACCATCTGGTCTTCTATGGTGAGCCTTGACATAAGAACAGCCATGATTCACCTTTGATTAAACCTGGACCCAGCCTACGTGCCTGTGCCATGGCAGCCTGTTGTCTGATTCCCAGTGGGTAGCCCATCACCCTATGTTGCCATAGTAATGTAACCCATAATAGTTGTTTTGTAGAGCATTGTGACCTTTGCAGTCAGCTACACCCTGTTCACACTTATGGTTTCGGTTTTAGCCTATATCTACTCCACCCTGAAAAATAAACGGGGCCTTGCTACGAAGAGAGCATGAGCCTGGAACCAAGTCCGTGAGACTGTTTTCTCTCCTGTTGCCCTTCCTTTCAGGTTTAGGACCTGCTGGCAGGATCCTGATGTTGCGGCTCGTGACAGTCTTCGACTTTGAACATTAAAAACTGTGAATTAAGTAAGCCTCATCTTCTTAAGTAGCCTGTGTTAGGACTTTTGTTACAGGGCTGGAAATCTCACTAATACAGGAGTGGTAGAGTCTTGGAGCAAAAGAATAAGCTCTGGACCCACCAGGGGCAGGTGCAACCTGGCAATTGTTAGCCCAAGGTCAAACTAATCATTTCAATAAGAACAATTATTATGAAGAATAATTAAACAGACCGAGGCTCAGAAAGGGCATCAGGAGCATACTGAGCTCATAGCTACTAGCACTGGGAAAACAAAGAAGAGATGACGGGATTCTCAGAGTCCACAGCTGCCACATCATGTATGTTAACCACAGGGCCATCAAGCACTGTGGCAGAGTCTGTCCGAGTGGAGAAGTGCTGTAAGTGGGAAATACACAGTAGATTTCAAAGTCTTATTGTGTTAAAGAATGTAAAATACCTCATTATTAGTTTCTAATATTGATTACATTAAAAAGGTAATATGTTGGATAAATAAAATTTATTATTAAAATTAAACTTCCCTACTTTTTTAAAAGCAGTGACTTGGAAATTTTTTATGTGAATTGCATCATTGATAGCTCTTATTATACTTTTGTTAGACAGCATTGACATAGAAGCTCAGAGCAGAGACATCACGGAGATGGTAACCAGACCTCTGGGGAGGAGAGTGGCTGGCTGGTATGTCAGTCTCTGTGATGGTTTGACGTGTGTGGAAAAACTATGAAATGGAACCACTGTCCTACCAAGGTGAGGAGTTATAGCTTGGGACAATGATGAAGAGAAAAGATACAAGGAAGTATTTATCTTTTCTTTTTCCTCCACCTGTCTCCATAATACCTTTGGCTTCCAGAGCCTACTAGGAAACCAGCTACCTAAGAGAAATATTTAGAGTATTAGCACCATTCTCACAAACCAGTTAGGAGGGTTGGGTTTGGAGCTGAGTCAGTAGCTTAATTCCCAGCACTACTGGCATTGAAAGAACTACTTATTTTTAAGAGAAGTAAGACCGTTAGGTTGTTTATGTGCAATGTTCATAATTCTGACAACTAATTTAATATTTTGTAAAACATTACTCAGCCCAAAGTACATTTGTAGATCACATTGTCTGTAGGCAATAACCTGAGACTATAGTCTAGATGTTTCAAGAGTCCTTCCAGATCTGACTCTGGTGCTAGGAGTATTTAATATGTCTGTGATAGAGATGATTGAATTTCCTTGGGAGAGTGACCATTGTGGACTGCAATTCATGAAGCTTTTCTAGAAGAAGGAAGGCCTGGGTAGGCTTTGGGTCTTTCTTGTAAACACAACTCCATACCATGCCTATAGTCAGTCAGTTGCAAATTTGGACTGCAAATGATGTTCTGTGGGTGCCACATTCTTTATTCCCAAAGGTGAAATTAGCCTGGGTGACACCTGAACTTTTGATCATGGCTCAAACAGAAGACCCACTGGCAACCTATCCCAGAAGCCCTCATAGAAATTGTGACTTTCAGACAGGAAAAGGCTTCCTGGAAACTGCTCATGAACAGTGGCTGTTTGTTAGCATTTTGTTGTTCATATGAAAAGATGTGGTTCTCAGAAGTAGAATGTTTCCATTTATAACTGCTCATGTTTGTTTAGTGTTAGGAAGGAATAAAATTATATAAGTATCTCAGAAATTAAAATGCTATTACCAATCTTAAAAGTTCAATAAAAAGAGCCTGAAAGGGTACTATGAAAATGTACTACAGAATGATCAATAATATTTTTAAATTCCATACATAACAGCCCAGATTGCTTTGTTGTCTAGACTCAGCCTTTCTCCAAGGAAGGATAATGGGTATTCTGTTATGTACAGGCAAAAGTTTTAGGTAAATGGATGGAGTCATTCCTGACTACAGCTCTAGGTTTTATAAAAGTCAAACTTTCTTGGATACTTCATCCAGCCATGGAGCTCACTTAAAGAATCTTTCCAATTTAAGGAGTCTTTGCAGCCCCAAATTATATGACCCTTATCAAAGTTCTACATGTGTTTCATTTTGTGTGCTGTGGCTACCCAGTTGGTTGGAGATTATATTAGCGCCCCCCAGCAACTTATATGGTTTTGCTTTCTGTTGTTTCCATTATCTATAGTCAACCATGATTTGAAAATAGTAAATGTAATTTCCAGAAGCAAAGAATTCATAAGTTTTAAATTTTAAATGTGTTGTGTGATAAAATCTTAAGCTATATCGCCTTAGCCTTGAATCATGTCTTTGTGCAGTGTATCCACACTGCATATGTTACCCTTCTGTTAGTCCCTTAGTAGCCATTTTGATTTTCATATTTACTCTCACAGCTTTACAGATCTTGTGTTCACATAACTCTTATTTTACATGATAATGGCCCAATCCATCAGAGTAATAATGCTGGTGATTCAGGTATGACAAAGAGAAGCTATAGTGCTCTTCCTTTAAATTAAAAGGTAAACATTCTCAATAAGACAAAATTATATCCTGTGTTTCATAAAAAAAAATCTGTGTATGAAATTGTGAAGAGAGACAGATTTCATGCTGATTTTGCTCTAGCTGCTTACATTGCAAAAGTTATAGCCACAGTGTGTGAGAAGTGCTTAGTTAAGAAGGGCAGGCATTGCATTTGTGAGTTAAAAACATGAACAGAAATTGTGTGGCAACATGTTATACCATAAAGTACAGAGGCTAATACTGTCCAGTTTCAGCCATCCCCTGGGGTCCTGGAACATATGCTTTGTGGATAAAGGGAGATTGTCATACCTTTGGGATGAGCTGATAGTGGGGTCATTAGACTTTGTTTAAGAAAGTGTTTCTGGAAAATCCTCTTTTGAATTTGCTGCTAAATCTGTTGATTTATTTGGACAACGCATCAACATATGAACCAAAGGTGTCTCACCTGAAAACTGGCTGTGGGATGGTCAGCTACCTCCTGGCCAGCCCGGGGTGAGCTCTAGCTAACAGAGGGGCAATACCAATCATCCAATTTTTATCTTTGTAGAAATATAAATTTGAGATGAATAAAGAGAAAGTATCTCATTTAAGGTTTCTTTCTGAACCAATGATGAGTTGCTTTTATTGATTTTCTGTCAACCCTACTATATACTCAGGTTAAAGGGGCTAGAACTCAATTGTATAGCTGGCTCATTCTTTTGTTAATTTACTCATTAAAATTCTAATAGGGACAATGGCTTTTCTGGACACTGGGGATGTGGCAATCCCAAGTGGCACATAACATCCCAGAATGTAGTCCAGTGGGGCCATTGCAAGGCGGCATGACTATTCTTTGATAGAGACGAGCTCAAGGTGAGATGGAAGCATGTAGAAGAGGCCATCTCCTTGCCGGGCTTCTCAGGGGAGCTTCCAGAGGAAATGAAGTGTAAAGCAAGAACTGAGCTATGCATAGCTTCCTGCACTATCCCAAAGTCCTTACCCTAAGCCTCCTTTTCGAAAGGTCATTTGTGCATGAACTTGGGTTCCGAAGGAGTTTTGCCCTAATTGACAAGTCCAGAATTTGAAGCTTAGAGGTTGTAGGAGATAAGTCTTTGGCTTAGAGAAATTCTGATCCAGGCTTCCCATCTCACCTCCAGCCAGTGTGTCGAATGTGAGTGGAAAGTATAATGGAGCAGCCAGGGACAATCACCTCACAGAAGTCAGAAAAAGATGATGGATAGCTTGGGTCCCTCATTGACTCTTATGCAGAGAACTTCAGAGCAGAATTAGATTCTCAAGTATGGGAAAGAATGCAGCGTGCTTCCTGAAGTTTAATAGCTCTCTTTCTATATTTCCATAGCATTGCACCAAGGTGTAAGATGATTCCCAATCCCAGTCCATTCAATTCTTGCTCTTACTTAAAAGGTGAATTCAAAACTCATCTCTTCCCCACCCACAAGAAATGTTTTTCCTGCCTTCTGCTGAGGTTTGCTGGCTAGAAGTGGTTTATGGATGTTTCTGAACTCTGAGTAGATTTAGTGCTTCTGGAAGGCAAGACTCCTTTTTTTTTCTTTTGGTACTGGGGATCGAAGTCCGGTCTTTGCACTTGCAAGGCAGGCGGCGAACCACTGAGCTAAATCCCCAGCTCACACAGAGTAGATATTCTAAAAATAATTCTTCCCTACGGAAGTGTTTCCTCTGCTTTCCAATGGCTTTTCCAGGCCCCTCTCATGAACGTTTGGCATCTGCCTCTCCTGTTTGAGTCTGGCTGATACTGTGTCTCTATTCCTCTTCACAAAGGAGTGACCTTTTGATTAAGGGCTGAACTGAAAATGGGTTCCTCCACTGAGCAGAAACTCAGATGCTATTACATCAGCTGTAAAACCGTACTTTCCCCTTCCCCAAACACAGCAGCTGGTGTTTTACTGTTAATCCAATCTATGCCCACTGTCTTGGGGATTACTGCTTCTCTGCCCTTCACGCAGGAGGAGCCAAATGTAGGTTCACTGGCCTCCAAGTCCCTTAGTTTCCCTTGCTACCTCCCTAAGTGAACCAGGTATCCATGGAAACAACTGAAGATTAATACTCAAAATAGACATTCATTTCTCTCTGAACAATACAACACAAATAAAGACTGTTTTAGGAATCATTTGAATTCTTGCAGCAAATTAGGAGGTTCAGTTACAGATTGTAGGTGAATAGGATGAAGCTGCCTCTGAACATTTCCTTGAGTATCTGAATGTAAAATCAGGGAAGGCCAGGGACAGTATGTGCATCACACATGGAAACTTCAGCTTTCACGAATTATGGATCTAGTCATTTAATGAATCCCTAGGCTTCAGTGGACCTGGGATGCTGTCCGTATTTTGTGATAGTGGTGAAGAAAGCAGCATGCTTGTCCTTCTGTGTCACAGCCCCTGGAGTGAGCAGCTAAAGGTAGGTGTAGCGATTATCTTGGTTTGCATTCTTCGTGGCCCCCATAATCCCTTCATATCTTGTTAGTTAATTAATCAATTCTTCTTTCTTCCACTGTTAGAGTTTCTGAGAGGAATATTCTGAATGGTCTATGAGGAATACAAGCCACATCCTTGGGTTGTCAGAGAGCAAAACACACCTTGGTTTGAAGTTCTACCGCTGTTTCACCCAATAAGAAAGAAAAAGAAATAGGTCACTCTCCCTACAAGATCAGGGAAGGGTACAGAAAGATCAGCAGATGATGTGTCACTGGATCAGTGTGAGATAACATAAAGAGATGCAGAAAGACTGCCCCGAGCCCTGAACAGTATCTGAGGGTTCACAGAAGTGCTGAGAGTACACTGGAATTCCTCAGGCTGCAAGATTGAGAGTTTCACCCTAGTTAGCTGACTGCAACTGACATTTAAGATGTTGGTGGGTGACTGCTGTTAAGATTTCTATTTCTTTGGTTACCAGTGTAGTTAAATACTTGCCCTCTCTTTCTTACTGAGTTTTAGTTCTATAAAGTTTATCCTGTTGTTTGCCTGTGTTTCCTCTTAGGGATGTAGTCATTTTTTTCAATTAACTTATCTTTTACATTTTAGTGACAATAGTATAGCTGTTTGCCTGGGGCTCTGTGATAATTTTTCTAGTTTATAATTTTCTTTTGATTTTGCTATCACAAATAAGTTTTATGTTTTTAAAAGTATTTTTTCATTACATTTCCTTTATTGTTATATGTGCTTCTTGGTCTACTGGAATTCATATTTTTCCTTTTATGAATGTTGA